CTGAACCCTGAGCTAATGAACTGGAATTTTGCTTTAAATGAAATAACAACACTATTTGAAGGAATGTTGCTGAAGTTGAATAGCTCTAAAATATAAGCACCTCATACTTTAAGTTTGAAGATTCATAGAAAAGTATACAGTATCACCTTCAAGGCAAAGGTTGTAATATTCTTAAAGTTAAAAATGATAGAATTAACAACCTTCTATCACCAATTGCTAAAGATTAAAGTATAAAATGGGGGTGCTCAGTGGGCTTCCATTTGCTTTCTTTTTCAATTTTATTTTACAAGTACAAGAACTTCACCTTAGGCATCTTAGTTATCAGTTTAAAAGCTTATGCTGCTACTATTTGGCAGTTAATAGTGTTTTTAAAATGAGTATTAATGTATATATTTCAGTCGTATCATCCCATAGGATCCTCTCCATAAGTGGGGAACCAACCTTTTTGGCAGGTGTCCAACAAACTAGCCTCTCTTCCTTTGTAAGTGTCACTCCAGTCCCCTTCACCTGACTGATCTGCTGCTCTGATTTTTGCTCCCTGCCCTATCTGCTACTGTGCTGCTTGTCCCCTCCTCAATCTGCCACATGCCACACTACCTGTGTCAGAGGTTGGTTACTTCTGCTCTGCATCACCTGTTTAAAAATAATCTGGATAATTTTATATATAATAAATTCCTATGCTGGGTCAGTTTTACTACAGATTGACCTGAACGACACAATCCATGGGTTAAATAAGTGTGAGATTGTGTACTTTGGGAGTCCAGGGTTTCAATCTGTCTGGCATTAGTTTTGGTATATTTAAGTTTCCTGACCCTGAGTTTTACTGTGCTGGAGGGGAACTTAACCACATTTCAGTTAGATGAGGTGGTTAGAAATTTCAGGAGCTCAGTAGCAATCTTTGGGGTCACTGACTTGAATGTGTTGCGCTATGTATAAACACAAAACAAAAATACAGTCCCCTTCTCCAAAAGCTTGTCATCAACATGGTGTTCTAAACACAGTTGGCTTAAGTAATCAACAGCCATTTCAAAATGGTTTTATCAGATTTTGTACCATATTACCACTAACATAATCTTGAGAGAAACTCAAGTGAAGATGATAGCTGACTGTTTTAATTAATGGAGACCAATTGCAATACTTAAAAACTTTATTGCTGGTAATGGAATGTCTTCCCAAACAGGTTAAGTTCTACATTAAGCTTTTATATGCTATAAATTATATCTTTATGTACCACTAATAAATACAAAAATTAAAGATCAGATAGTTGCATCTTTTCTGATGCTCGAGAATGAGTTGGCTGGTGGCTAGAATCAGTGGGTTTGTATTTCTCATTAAAACTAGAAAAACATTGAAATAATGCCCTGAATACATTAGTTTTTTGTGTAGATTATGATCATAATGCACAATGAGTTAAATAGTGAACATCATTTAAGAACAAATCAACTGTGGTAATTTTTTGTTACAACTAAATAAAAACCACTTAAATGACTGCTTAATGCAATAAGTGTCTAAATTAAGGCAGTATGGTTCAAGTTTAAATTACTTTCCAACCTAATGTACCTGCTTTATGCAATCTGCTTCTATAACCTCCTGCAGCAGTGAGATCTACAAGTTAACTTTAATGTTTAAAAGTAATTCCTCTTCTTTGTTTTAAACCTACCTTCTCTTAATTCCAGTAGGTGCCCACTTGTTCCTGTGTTCTGGGATTTGTGAATAACAGTTCCCTATTCATTTCATTCAGAACCCTGTATGATTTTATAGACCTGAATCATATCTCCTCTCAGTCCTCTCCTTTCCAAACTGAAAAGTCCTAGACTTTTGAGTCGCTTCTGATATGGCAGCTGCTCCATACATACCCCTCATCTTGACTACCCCACTGTGTACCTTTTCGAACCAGGACCCAGAATTGACAACTGCTGAGGCCAAGAGTCCCCTCATTTGTGGGACTTCCAGCCCCAGCTGGGCATGGTACACCCTTGCAGCTGGGAGCCTCATCAGCTGACAGAGCTCCTAGCAACAGGCAAGACCCTGTTATGCATGCAAATTTAAAACCGAATATGTAGGCGGAGAAAGAAAAAAATATTTGGGGGAGCTGTGTGTGTGTGTGTGTGTGTGTGTGTGTGTGTCCCCTGCACATAAGTCTGTGGGGGAAGGGCCATGGGGGGGCAGATCAAGGCACGGGATGGAGCCGTGAGTGGCTTGTCCGGGGGGCACCCAGTGCGTGAAAGGGGTGGTGGCTCCTGCCCTGCATGCACCCCGG